AGGGAGGGGGGGGGGAAGGGAGGTCCGCGTCGTCGGCGGCAGTCTGGGGGGCGTTCTTGCTGGCCCGCTCGAAATTCGCAGCGGCGGCAGCAGCGTGGGCCGCGAGGCGTCTTGCCATCGGCATTCGCGGGGCGATGGCGCAGTGGCCACATGATTGCTTGGGTCGCAGGAATGCGGGGTGGCCCGGGGCCCATTGCAGCGGCGAGTCGGCCCGTAGCTTCGCGCGGCCTGGGCCCGCCACTACTGACTTTGCTCCACCTCATCACCCTGCCCCCCTCGTTCCAAGGGTCCGTTCTCAGCGGCCCCGTCGATGCTGTTCTAGCCGCCGCCCCCATTTAAGTTCCAGCCGCCCCCCTTTCCACCCTCTGCACCTCCTTTTTGCCCAGTGCGATTATCCTGGCGATGTCGCGCGCCTGCCCCCCCTCCTTCTCCTCGCGCGCGGGTTTCGTCGGCCCCGTCGTCGTTTTCCCGGCGCCGCCGTTCCTGTCAGTGGCTGCGCTGCCGCTTCTGCCCCCTTCTCTGCCTTCCGCCGCGTCGCAGCCGCCGCTGCCGTCGCAGATGCGGCGGCGGAAATATGCGGGCGCGGCGGGCTTGCGTCGCCGACTCGCAAGCGAGGCGTTCGAGTTGTCCGGGGCGGGCGCGCGCAGTTGCATTTCGCGCGCGCCGCGTGCCGCGTCGCCAATCCAGCGGTCGGCTTCTGCGCGATTCCACGGCGGAAGCATATTTTGCATTTATTTCACCTCGCATAATTTTCTTACGTTTCATATGTTTTCCTGGATTCCCAGGCTGTCCAGGAGTAGCTGCCTTTCAAGCGTCGCCGGGTTGCGGTTGCGGTTGTCTCTTGGTTGCGGTGGCGGTTGCGGTTGCGCGGGCCGGTTGAAATGTGTCGCTTGGTTGCGGTTTGGTTGCGGTTGCGCGCGCGGTTTGAAATGCGTCGCCTGTTTGCGGTTGCGGTTGCGGTTGCGCGGGCGGGTTGAAATGTGTCGCTTGGTTGCGGCTTGGTTGCGGTTGCGCGGGCGGGTTGACATGTGTCGTTTGTTTGCGATTGCGGTTGCGGTTGCGCTGGCGGTTCGAAATGCGTCGCCATTTTGCGGTTGCGGTTGCGCGGGCGGGCTGACATGTGTCGCCGGGTTGCGGTTGCGGTTGCGGTTGCGCGGGCGGGTTGGAATGTGTCGCCTGGTTTCGGTTGCGGTTGCGGTTGTGCGGGCGGGTTGAAATGCGTCCCCGGGTTGCGGTTGCGATTGCGCTTGTGCGGGCGGGTTGAATTTTTGTCGCTGCTTTGCGTTTGCGCGGCCGGTTGAAATGCGTCGCCTGGTTGCGGTTGCGCGCCCCCGTGGGCGGTTTGACATGCGTTGTCCGACGTGTCGTCCTGACGTTCAGTCAGTCAGTCAGTCTGTCAGTCACCGGTGGGCACGGAATTCGTATAATCATCATCACCATTAGCATCATCATCATCAATAATTTAATAATTCCAAGCACCACCACAACCCCCATCATCATCATCGTCGTCATCATCACCACCATCATCGTCATTGTCATCATCACTATCACCACCACCACCACGACCATCATCATCACCTTGACCATCATCAGCATCGCCACCATCAGCAGCATCAGCATCGTCCCATCATCATCATCAGCAGCATCACCATAGTCAACATGGGCATCGTCATTATCACCATCATAATCATCATTACCAACATCATCATCATTATCACCACCACCAGCAATACCATCCTCAGCACCATCATCGCTATCAGCATGACAATCATGATCACCAGTACCAGCATCACCATCATCATCCTCATCATCGTCGTCGTCACCATCACCATATTCATCGTCATCAGCATCACAATCATCGCCATCCTCATCATCAGCATCATCATCTCTACCATCATCAGCGCCATCGTCATCATCATCACCACCACCATCATCACCATCGCCATCACAATTTACACCATCACCACGATGCTGATAATCATCACCATCGTCATCATCATCATCTTCATCATCACCGCCTTCAGCATCATCGCCACAATCCTTGTCGACGTCAGCGTCAACGCCATCGTCGTCGTCACTATCGGCGGCCGTATCATCACCGTTGTTGTGTTGGCCTGAATCAACAGTAACAGCACCAACAGCATCACCACCATAGTTATCATCATCAGCATCCGCACCCGCACCCCTACCCGCACCATCACCATCCTGTTCATCATCATCACCACCATCATCATCACGGTTATCCGGATCATCATCATCCTTGCTTCTATCATCATTCATCGTCACGGTTATCAGCAGCAACAGTATCATCGTTATCAACACCAGCGTCATCATCACCAAAAGCAGTAGCAGCGGCAGCCAGCATCATCATCCTTCCACCTCCCACATCTTTCCCATCCTCCCCTCAATCCTCCATTCCCTGTGTCAGCTCCGGCCAGCGAGCTGGGTCAGCTGAAGGCGCGCACCTGTGTGACCTCGCGTACACCCATGGAAGCGCGCCGTTTTCTCCCTCCTCCTCCTCCTATTATTATTCCGCCCTCCCCCTGCTCCTCCTCCTTCTCCTGCTCCTCCTCTTTCCTCCTCCCCACTCTGACTTCCTTGTCCTCATCCCTTCTCCCTCACCCCTGCTGCCTCCGACTCCCCTCTCCCCCCCCGTCCTCCTCACCGCTCCCCCCCCGTGCTTCTGTTCCGTGCCGTAGCGGCTTGGAAAGTGCCAGTTTGTGGAGGAAAACGTGCGCAGGAAAAGGGACGAACGTTCGGGACAACACGTACGCGAAAGCAGGTAGCCGTGTTTTTTCTGGAGGTGCCCCGATCACAGTCTCAGTGCAGGGGTATTTTGCCTCCCTCCTCGTCCATCCCTCTTCCCTCCTCCTTCCTCCTCCTCCTCCTCCTCCTCCTCCTTCTTCTCCTCGTCCTCCTCCTCCCCTCCTCGTCCTCCTCCCTCCCTCCTCCTCCTCCTCCTACTTCTCCTCCTCCTCCTCCTCCTCCTCCTCCTCCTCCTCCTCCTCCTCCCTCCGTCCCTCCGTCCCTCCATTCCATGACGTTCTAAATAACTTCTCGCTGTTGCATCCCGAGGCCAATTTCTAGGGCGGTCCAGGCCTTTCGCCTGGGAATTCTTCACCATTTATAACCCTGAACCTTTCAACATTGGCCACATTTTCAAAGATGGAGGGCGGGTGGTTTTCAAAATATGGCTCTCGCCTCAGCGCCGTGCACATTCGTCTTAAACAATTGCAAGCGCTTCATGGATTGTGGGCGACCCGTTTTCAAAATGTGGTTCTCGTCTTAGCGCCGCGCACACTTCGTTGTCAAAAATTGCGAGAGGTTCACGGGTTGAGGGCGACCCGTTTTCAAACTGTTGTTCTCGCCTTAGCGCCGCGTGAATTCGTTTTACAAATTTGCGAGGGCGTCGCGGATTGAGGGCGGTTCTTTTTCAAAATGTGGTTCTCGCTTTAGAGCCTCGCAGATTCTGTTTTCAAGAATTGCGAGAGGTTCACGGATTGTTGGCGACCCGTTCTCAAACTGTGGTTCTCGCCTTCGCGCCGCGTGAATTCGTTTCCAAAGTTGCGAGGGATTCGTGGATTGAGGGCGGTTCCCTTTCAAAATGTGGCTCTCGCCTTAGCGCCGCGCACATTCGTGCATAACATGTACAAGATATTCACATGACCAAGGTACCAAGATTGGTGTTTAGAAAGATTCCAGATTATGTGGGTGCAACAGTTACGTTGATTCGAGGTGTTGAAGTCCCAGGAGTGGCGTTTTGTCACGATTCAGGCTCATACAGACGCAGAAGTCAGGTTGCTCCATGGCGTTGGAACCCCGAGAGCACTGTTTCGCCATGCTTCAGAATCTTCAAATGGTTTTCTTCCGACGGGGCAGTTCCCTCAGTGGAGATGAACCGTTGCAGGAGTCTATGAAGAGAGGGAGCTTGGAGGGAGGGTTTACTCCAACATCGTTGATGACTCTTGGGGTTTACACTGGTCATCCTCCTCCTCCGTCTTCCCTCTCCGCAGGGCAAGCTCGCCGCCGGCGCGCAGCGAACCCCGAGGAGGCCAGGGGGGCGGTGGGCGGCATGGAAGACTGGAGGTGGCCCGAGCGAGGCTGCCGAACAGAAGATCTCTCATCTGGCCCTTCCTTCCCCCCCTCTCCCCTTTTCCGCTCTCCCCCTCCTTCCTCCTCCCTCCCTCCCCGTCCCTCCCTCCTCCCTCCCCATTCCCTCTGTCCCCCCGCCTCCCTCCCTCCTCCCTCCTCCTTATAGCCCCCTGCCGCATCTGGCACGGTCGGGGTTTATCAGAGGAGCCACCAGAACCACCGTCCATTTTTTAACTAGTATCAGCCACTGCCACGGAGGCTCCCAAACTGGAAGGGACCAGGGACCAAGCACGCCCTGAGGGACCCCCAGTGGCAGCCGGAAGAGGTATGTCTGCCGGCATGTATGTCGTTCTCGGCGACGGGCTTCTCGCCCTTCCCCCTCACCCCGCATCGCCTCTTCCCGTACTCCTCCTTCCTGCGTGTTCCTCCTTTCTCATTCCTGCTTCCTCCTTCCCTCTTCCCCCCTCCCCCCCTCACCTCTCTCCGTCATCCTCCTTCCTCCTTCCTCCTTCCCCCCCTCATCCCTCCTCACTCCTTCCATTTTCCTCCCTCTTCTTCCTCCCTCCCCCTCTTCGTCCCTCCCCGTAACCCCCTCCGGGGGTGCTTTTAGACACGGCGAGGCCTTCCTCGCTGCCCTGTGTGCCGGGCTGCTCTGCTGTTGCCGGCCCACCCTGGGCACGCCAGCGCGCGCCCGCAGCGCGACAGCCCGCAGCGGTGTACACCTTAGGCGATGCTTAAGAAAACCCAAGTTTTCGGCCAGAGTCTCGATTATTCTTAACGTTTCAATGTAAATCCCAAGATTTTTGATAGAACTGTTGGGTTTTTATTCAAGTTCTGAGACTATGAGTTTCTTAACCCATGATGTCTTAAGCATTTCGCAGGGTGTACTGATCCCCTCCCCCCCGCAGGTGCGCGCGCGCCACCTGGCGCAGATCCTGCCTGCGGCCGTAGGCCCAGCGGCCCTCCGGGGCAGGGTCGCGACGGCCCTGGGCGGGAGGGGGGCAGGAAGGATCGAGCGTTGCGTCATGGGGAGGGGGCGCGTGGATTCAGTGGAGGGAAAGGTGCCCAGACCACCAGCCTTGCCTCGTTTTCGCTTTGAGGGGGGGCTCATGGGACGCCTTGCCACCGCTGAATTGTGGTCCGAACACACCCTGGGAGAGGATCAGGGAGCAGCGGTGTATTTACCTTTTGGTTTCCTCATTGGGGCAGGCTGAGAGTGGTGCAGTTCCTTTCGCGCACCCTAGGGCCCTCAAGAGGGCCCCATGGTGCCCAAAAGTGCGCGAGAGGTGTACGTTCCTCCCCCCAGTCATCGCACCCCCATAAGTAACGCCCAATCGTTGATTCCTGAAGGTTTTCTCGTCTCGGGATGCTTTTCGGCAACTGCGCCTTGATCCCCCGAATGAGCGACGTCCAAGAGATCGCGACGGTTTCGACGCGGAGGCGTCGACGGCGGGGGGGAGACTGCCTATCGCAATTCTTACCCACGGCACGGATTGGTACGCCGCCAACACCACTACAACGTCAGAGCGTGACAAGTGTCAAGCAGGCGGACGCGCCCCTAGCGGACACGCTATCCCCACTACGGGCGACTACGGGCGACATCCGAAAAGCGTATACGCCCCGGCTTTACGCCATTTTGCCCCGATTTGCGGCGAATTTGGAAACAAGTTAAGGGACCAATTTGGATTTCGCGAAAGCGCGAACCCCAGATTCCTGAACCAACAAGGGACACGCCTCCACAACCAATCCGCCGCCTAACGGCGATAGACGAAAACCACCAACGACGACCTCAACCACTACTCATGGAGTTCCCATGTATAGTATGTAACTCAGCATTCTTTGGTTGGTCATCGGGTGTGCTTTGGGAAGCATGCAACGTGATCGCCACAACGATGGAGGCGATCATGCGATAAAGGGTGGCCCCTCAGGGAACACATCGCTCCTCGAGTCTACCCATGAAGTACATTCGTGGCTGACTGCCACGAGCGCCCGCATGACCCCACAACAAGCTGCATGCCTGCGGCGTGGTCTGGGTGGGGTAGCACGCGCCATTGCGATGCGAAGCCCTCCCCAGATCGCTAACTACGGCACGACGGCGCAAGGCGCCCACACGTGCCCCGCCACGTACATAATGTTTCTCTTGGGTGCCGAGTCCGAGAACCTTGAAGATGAGCGACAGCTCACTTCAGGAACGGCGCCCATAGACTTCGGGCCCGAGCCTGGCAAAAAAACGGATTCTATCCTCGCCAGGTTCGATATGGCCTGTCTTGAGGCTGATTCAGTCGCCCCTGCCATCCCAATCTTTCTTTCAGCTGCTCACATCAGTGCTCTTTCGAGCTCTAAGGTTCGGCCATGGCAGAGCTGCGCAGATGCTTCAGCCTCTCAACGGTAAGATGCCACGGGCCCAACGACAATGCGATTAATTGTTGGACCGCGTGCGCAGCTTTGGCCATCTGGCGGAAAACGTTCCTGGCAACATCGGAAACGTGCTTGCTGGGAAGCGCAGGGCGCGGAAACGCGAATACGCACGCGAATGATGCCGGCGGGGACGCGGCCGCGCCCCGCAACGCATGTGCTGGCGACCCCAACAATTCAGAGGAGGCCACTGCACCACTCGACGGCCCTCCAGGGCCCCGGGACTGACAGGAGCTACCCAACATCATCAGCACAACAGGGATGGGGACAGCTCTCGAACCCTCAATCGCACGCGGCCCCCGAGAGCCAGACTGCCGCATGGGGCCAAACCTCCAACGGAGATTCACTTGTCGACTCTGGGACGGATGCTGACGCGTTATTATCCGACGGAACCGAACGGATCGATTTGTCAGATCTGCCCCCCGGCTTCGGCGGCGCGGAAACCGCCGTGCACTTATTCCTTGGCTACCATCGCGCAAAAAGCCGCCGGAGGCGGTTCATTGAGATGCCTGCGCGGCGAATGCGCTGGGCACCGCGGAGAGCATTTCACCGGCGGAGGAAGGGTCGCGGAAACGGCGGTCGTCGTTGCCGACGGTTGCGCGGAAAAGGCTTCGCCACATTCGCGGCCGCTTTTTCCGAGGTTGAGTTTGAAGAAATCCCCCCGGCCAAGGGTCGAGGTAGACGCCGTTCCACGGGGCGGAGGAAGGGCGGGGGCGTCAATCCACTGGGCCGAAACGGGAAGAGGGCGCCGTGTAACCGACGCGGATGTTATGAACATTTTCAGAGCCAGCGCGTTTGTAAATGGACAGGGGGGGGGGGGAGGGCGGCGCGGCCCGTTCGACGGCTCAAGATATAAACGAGGGCGCGGAGTGCGTCGACCGGCCCGATTTCGATCCCCTTTCAGCAAGCACCCTTCTTACATGCGTCGATTTCCACCGAGAGGCGACGGCTCTTTCGTTCGACGCTCTCCGACTTTAACGGAGGCGCGACTGCGCGCGACGGGGGCGCCTCCGAAGCTTAGACGGCCCCTGCTACGCCAGCCGAGCTACATACATTGCGGAAACGCATGAGCAGACGCCCTCGGCAGGAGCGACCGCGCCGACGGGGGCTGGCGCGCTGCGTGGAAACACGCCGAGGCGGAGAGGCGGGCCCACGACGACGATTTCGCCCGAAGGCCTCGTGGACACTGGGTGGGGCATGACCAGCTCCAACGCCTATATGACGCATCGCGCCCCGCAGGGCCGTTCGCGTGGCCCTGCGGGGGCGCCGCCCGATTGGGGTGGCCCCCGCGCCCGCATCTCTCGCTAGGACATGGGCTACTGACGCGGCCAATGCTGGACCGAGAATCAGATCCGCCACTGGTGCGCTGTCCAGCGCGGCGAGCGGGGCGGCGGGCGCAGGGCCGCGCGCTGTTCCGCGGGGGCGCGCGCCCGCCGACGCGAGGAAGAGCGGGCGATGCGCGCATTATGCGCAGTCATCTCGATCCCCCGACGCCCTTCCAAGGTGCGAGGTGCAACGGTCAGCGCGAACACGCGCAGGTGTGCAATGGGGAGGAGCTTGCTGCAGCACAGCAGCACATGCATGTCAATTCCTCTTCGTCGATGCTGTCTGCATTGCGAAGATGCTCATGGAATCGCCTGTCGGCCCATTGAACAGGCGGAGACGCGCCCCAGCATTTGCAGTCAACAGCGCAGGTTTTGACCTCGACGCCGAAGACATGCCGCGCGGCCCCTCGGGTGCTATAACCAGGCCACCACTGGGGGACCTAGGATCCGCCTATGCAAGAGGCCCGCGCATGCGCCGGTGGCACGACGCGGGCCCCATTTACTGGGGGCGCGACAGCTGCGAGAAAAACCGCGGTTCGAATCAGGCAGGACACGCGACGATACTTGCCGAGCGCAGATTCGCAAAGCCTCGCGAACTGCCACCGAGCCCACACCAGCCCCCAGCTGGCGCCCCACGTCCATTTGCGGAAGCGCCAGCCCCACCAACAGCCCCACCAGCAGAACCCGAGACAGAGGCGGACGCACCACGACAGGGCAGACGGCTGTCAGCTCGTGTAAACCCAGATTAGTTTACACCTCGCCCACGCCCATCGGCCGATGTCACTCGGGGCGCCGGGAGTCACGACATGACGAGGGGGATGCATGCCGGCGGGGGAGAAGGAGGGGGCACGGGGAGCTCCGATGACCACCTGAGAGCCAAAGGCTGGCGGGGGCGCCGACGACGCGGCGAGCCATCGCCGCCTCCGCCCGCGGAGGAAGCCGCCGCGGCAGCACCAGCTCCCAAACCTCCTGACTGGACTCGCTTCGATGTCCAGGTCAGCCTGCAAAACCTCCGAGGTCTCGATCCAGCCGTCGTCGCCAAGGAGCCTCGCAAGCTACACTTAAGGTGGCGTCATGCTAAGAAGCCCAAAACGAAGCTTATCTTATCGAATATACGTCTTGACGGTGACGCGCTGAACCTGCTCGCAGGCGCGTGCGACTCTCGTCGGGGGTGCCGACGCCGCCATGCTGCCGGTGGCCTTGCCAGAGGAAACTCAATGAGGAATGCGAGCGTGACCTGTTCTTTTATAAGAGCAACGTCGTATTCCACATACTGTGCCGACGCATGCGTTTTGCTGCCGTTTCAGAAGTCTTCGGCGAAACGATGATTTCGGTGCTAGACGCATACCACTACGCCCAGTTGCACCATGGCCCCGCAGAGGTCCGAGACTCCGATGGAGAGGGCGCTCTCGACAACGTCGCGGCTCGGGATGCCCATGCAAACAATGGAACTGAAGCTGGGATCCGAGCGCGCAGACAGCGCGCCGCAACTATCGAATCCAGAAGTGGGATCCTACGGCAGAGCATGCGCGTGATGGAGGAAGATTTTGAAACAACATAACATGCCACTGAATTCCCCCCATGTACTGCGCGAAGCAACGTTCGTGACCAACGCCTTCACATTCCACAATGGAGTGTCTCCATATTACGCGCAGCGCGGACGCCGGCTGGCACGTCTACCCGACCTGCCGGCCTTGGACCACAAACAACAGACAAACACGTCAGACCATTCACGAGAACAGCCGATATGCGAGGTCAGCCTGGAGGCCATTACACAAGCGACTGCAGCTGCGAGAGCTAACCGAGCATTACCAAGACAAACACACCAGGCCAGATCTTCTTTCGCAGCGGTGACTGAGTATATTACCACCGACCTACTACCACGAAGGACGACTCGGGAAGTTGGAACGGCCCATATCCCGTTGCCCGCAACGACCCTGTAAGGGGCCAGGCCAGGGTCGGCAATCGCGAACTGACTGTTCAGCGCCCAGACCCAGGGTGCACACTCTACATTGAAGTGCCGATGGTCCGAGAACTTGTCTCGGACAACACAGCGCTTCAAACTGTGCTTGCTTTTGTTCCCCGAGTCCACCTGCAGGGGGACCTGCGATGACCTTTGGGCACCACCCAACTAAGCAAGGATACTTGGCAATGACCGCATCTAGCACACTATCGCCCATGGTGTGCTGCAGTACTTGGTCCTAGACTGCT